ATTCTTGAGGTTCCATCCGGTATCACTGTAACCGCTCTGGTGTCACGTGGTATCCGCTGTAAGTCACGTAATTACTGGTTCTGTCTCTCTTAACTGCAACTCGCTGTTCTGACTTTTGTTATAGTGCAGATATTAATTTTTTGGTGATATTAATTAGAGCGGTAATTGGTGCGTTTTGGTGAGGGTGGGGGGGGGGGGGTGATGTTATGTTTTGGGGGTGTTGTGATGTTATGTTTGGGTGTTATGTTTGGGGGAGTTGTGATGTTATGTTTGGGTGTTATGTTTGGGGGGTGTTGTGATGTTATGTTTGGGTGTTGATGTTTGTTTGGGGGAGTTGTGATGTTATGTTTGGGTGTTATGTTTGGGGGGGTTGTGATGTTATGTTTGGGTGTTATGTTTGGGGGGATGTTGTGGGTGTGTTGTGGTGTTATGTTTGAGGGTGTTGTGATGTTATGTTTGGGTGTGTTGTGATGTTATGTTTGGGGGGTTGTGATGTTATGTTTGGGGTGTTGTGATGTTATGTTGGGTGTGTTGTGATGTTATGTTTGGGGGGTTGTGATGTTATGTTTGGGGGAGTTGTGATGTTATGTTTGGGTGTTATGTTTGGGGGGAGTTGTGATGTTATGTTTGGGTGTTATGTTTGGGTGTGTTGTGATGTTATGTTTGGGTGTGTTGTGATGTTATGTTTGGGGTGTTGTGATGTTATGTTTGGGTGTTGTGATGTTATGTTTGGGTGTTGTGATGTTATGTTATGTTATGGGTGTGTTGTGATGTTATGTTTGGGTGTGTTGTGATGTTATGTTTGGGTGTGTTGTGTTGTTTTGTTTGGGTGTGTTGTGATGTTATGTTTGGGGTGTTGTGATGTTATGTTTGGGGGGTTGTGATGTTATGTTTGGGTGTGTTGTGATGTTATGTTTTTGATGTTTTGGGGTGTTGTGATGTTATGTTTGGGGTGTTGTGATGTTATGTTTGGGTGTGTTGTGATGTTATGTTTGGGGTGTTGTGATGTTATGTTTGGGTGTGTTGTGATGTTATGTTTGGGGTGTTGTGATGTTATGTTTGGGGTGTTGTGATGTTATGTTTGGGGTGTTGTGATGTTATGTTTGGGGTGTTGTGATGTTATGTTTGGGGTGTTGTGATGTTATGTTTGGGTGTGTTGTGATGTTATGTTTGGGTGTGTTGTGATGTTATGTTTGGGTGTGTTGTGATGTTATGTTTGGGTGTGTTGTGATGTTATGTTTGGGTGTGTTGTGATGTTATGTTTGGGTGTGTTGTGATGTTATGTTTGGGTGTGTTGTGATGTTATGTTTGGGTGTGTTGTGATGTTATGTTTGGGGTGTGTTGTGATGTTATGTTTGGGGTGTGATGTTATGTTGATGTTATGTTATGTTTGGGGTGTGTTGTGATGTTATGTTTGGGTGTGTTGTGATGTTATGTTTGGGTGTGTTGTGATGTTATGTTTGGGTGTGTTGTGATGTTATGTTTGGGGTGTTGTGATGTTATGTTTGGGGTGTTGTGATGTTATGTTTGGGTGTTGTGATGTTATGTTTGGGTGTGTTGTGATGTTATGTTTGGGTGTTGTGATGTTATGTTTGGGTGTTGTGATGTTATGTTTGGGGGTGTTGTGATGTTATGTTTGGGTGTTGTGATGTTATGTTTGGGGTGTTGTGATGTTATGTTTGGGTGTGTTGTGATGTTATGTTTGGGTGTGTTGTGATGTTATGTTTGGGTGTTGTGATGTTATGTTTGGGTGTGTTGTGATGTTATGTTTGGGTGTGTTGTGATGTTATGTTTGGGGGGTTGTGATGTTATGTTTGGGGGTGTTGTGATGTTATGTTTGGGGGTGTTGTGATGTTATGTTTGGGTGTTTGTGATGTTATGTTTGGGTGTGTTGTGATGTTATGTTTGGGTGTGTTGTGATGTTATGTTTGGGTGTGTTGTGATGTTATGTTTGGGTGTGTTGTGATGTTATGTTTGGGTGTGTTGTGATGTTATGTTTGGGTGTGTTGTGATGTTATGTTTGGGTGTGTTGTGATGTTATGTTTGGGGGTGTTGTGATGTTATGTTTGGGTGTGTTGTGATGTTATGTTTGGGGTGTTGTGATGTGTGATGTTATGTTTTTGGGTGTTGTGATGTTATGTTTGGGTGTGTTGTGATGTTATGTTTGGGTGTGTTGTGATGTTATGTTTGGGTGTGTGTGTGGGGTGTTATGTTTGGGGGGAGTTGTGATGTTATGTTTGGGGTGTTGTGATGTTATGTTTGGGTGTTGTGATGTTATGTTTGGGTGTTGTGATGTTATGTTTGGGGGGATGTTGTGATGTTATGTTTGGGGGGTTGTGATGTTATGTTTGGGGTGTTGTGATGTTATGTTTGGGTGTGTTGTGATGTTATGTTTGGGTGTGTTGTGATGTTATGTTTGGGGTGTTGTGATGTTATGTTTGGGGGTGTTGTGATGTTATGTTTGGGGTGTTGTGATGTTATGTTTGGGGTGTTGTGATGTTATGTTTGGGGTGTTGTGATGTTATGTTTGGGGGGTTGTGATGTTATGTTTGGGTGTGTTGTGATGTTATGTTTGGGGTGTGTTGTGATGTTATGTTTGGGGTGTGTTGTGATGTTATGTTTGGGGTGTTGTGATGTTATGTTATGTTTGGGGTGTGTTGTGATGTTATGTTTGGGTGTGTTGTGATGTTATGTTTGGGGTGTTGTGATGTTATGTTTGGGTGTGTTGTGATGTTATGTTTGGGGGGTTGTGATGTTATGTTTGGGGTGTTGTGATGTTATGTTTGGGTGTGTTGTGATGTTATGTTTGGGGGGTTGTGATATTATGTTTGGGTGTGTTGTGATGTTATGTTTGGGTGTTGTGATGTTATGTTTGGGTGTTGTGTTGGGGTGTTGTGATGTTATGTTTGGGTGTGTGTGATGTTATGTTTGGGGGGTTGTGATGTTATGTTTGGGTGTGTTGTGATGTTATGTTTGGGGTGTTGTGATGTTATGTTTGGGTGTTATGTTTGGGGTGTTGTGATGTTATGTTTGGGTGTTATGTTTGGGTGTGTTGTGATGTTATGTTTGGGTGTGTTGTGATGTTATGTTTGGGTGTTATGTTTGGGGGGTTGTGATGTTATGTTGGGTGTTATGTTTGGGGGGTTGTGATGTTATGTTTGGGGTGTTGTGATGTTATGTTTGGGGGGTTGTGATGTTATGTTTGGGTGTTATGTTTGGGGGGAGTTGTGATGTTATGTTTGGGTGTTATGTTTGGGTGTGTTGTGATGTTATGTTTGGGGTGTTGTGATGTTATGTTTGGGTGTGTTGTGATGTTATGTTTGGGTGTTGTGATGTTATGTTTGGGGTGTTGTGATGTTATGTTTGGGTGTGTTGTGATGTTATGTTTGGGGTGTTGTGATGTTATGTTTGGGTGTTGTGATGTTATGTTTGGGGTGTTGTGATGTTATGTTTGGGTGTGTTGTGATGTTATGTTTGGGGTGTTGTGATGTTATGTTTGGGTGTTGTGATGTTATGTTTGGGTGTGTTGTGATGTTATGTTTGGGTGTTGTAATGTTATGTTTGGGTGTTGTAATGTTATGTTTGGGGGTGTTGTGATGTTATGTTTGGGGTGTTGTGATGTTATGTTTGGGGTGTTGTGATGTTATGTTTGGGGTGTGTTGTGATGTTATGTTTGGGGTGTTGTGATGTTATGTTTGGGGTGTTGTGATGTTATGTTTGAGGTGTTGTGATGTTATGTTTGGGGAGTTGTGATGTTATGTTTGGGGGGTTGTGATGTTATGTTTGGGGTGTTGTGGTGTTATGTTTGGGTGTTGTGATGTTATGTTTGGGGTGTGTTGTGATGTTATGTTTGGGGTGTTGTGATGTTATGTTTGGGGGGTGTTGTGATGTTATGTTTGGGTGTGTTGTGATGTTATGTTTGGGTGTTGTGACGTCATGTTAGGTTGTTGACATCATATTGCATTGTTATTGTATTATGTTCTGAGTTTGAGTCCACTACGGGATCTCCATAGTCCATGCTACTTGCAAATTTTGTTCCGAGTAACTGACTCTAAAGCAACAACAATTCTGAGTTAAAGGTATAAAGTGACCTGTGTTCACCTGTTCCCTCGTTGTTCCCTCACTGTTCTTCGTCTCCTGAACCCTCCGGCCTCTCTCTCTCTCTCTCTCTCTCTCTCTCTCTCTCTCTCTCTCTCTCTCTCTCTCTCTCTCTCTCTCTCTCTCTCTCTCTCTCTCTTAATTCTCTCTATCTTCCTTCTTCTCTCTCTCCTCTGATTCTCCTTTCCATCCCCTCACTCTCTTCTATGTGCTTTCTTCCTCCTTAACTTCCATCTCACTCCTTACTCCCTCTCCATCCCTATCGTCTCTCCCCCTCTCACTGGAACACACTCCCCCCTCTCACTGGAACACACTCCCCCCTCTCACTGGAACACACTTCCCCCTCTCACTGGAACACACTCCCCCCTCTCACTGGAACACACTCCCCCCCTCTCACTGGAACACACTCCCCCCTCTCACTGGAACACACTCCCCCTCTCACTGGAACACCCTCCCCCTCTCACTGGAACACACTCCTCCCTCTCACTGGAACACACTCCCCCCCTCTCACTGGAACACACTCCCAAAATTCTCTTCCCACGTACCTCATATTACTCATTTTCTTCCCTCATTATCCCCCTCATATTCCACCCCTCCCCCTCACTAACCCCTACCCCCCCCCACACTCACAGGGTCACACAGATTCGTATTTAAACTCCTACTAAACTCCTCAGTAGTCTCCCCCCCCCTCTATTGACCTCGTGGTTGTAATTGAAAAAGTTTTAAGACTTTCCCTATTTTAACCAAGCATCAGTAACATCATCAGCATCAGTAGCATCAGTAGCATTAGCAGCATCAGTAGCATTAGCAGCATCAGTAGCATTAGCAGCATCAGCATCAGTAGCATTAGCAGCATCAGCATCAGTAGCAGCATCAGTAGCATTAGCAGCATCATCAGTAACATCAGCATCAGTAACATCAGCATCAGTAACATCAGCATCAGTAGCATCAGCATCAGTAGCATCATGAGCATCCGTAGCATCATCAGCATCAGCCTCAGCATCATCAGCCTCAGCATCAGTAGCATCATCATCAGTAGCATCATCAGCATCAGTAGCATCATGAGCATCAGTAGCATCAGCATCAGTAGCATCATCAGCATCAGTAGCATCAGCATCAGTAGCATCATCAGCATCCGTAGCATCATGAGCATCAGTAGCATCATGAGCATCAGTAGCATCATGAGCATCAGTAGCATCAGCATCAGTAGCATCAGCATCAGTAGCATCATCAGCATCAGTAGCATCATCAGCATCAGTAGCATCATCAGCATCAGTAGCATCATCAGCATCATGTGCATCAGTAGCATCAGCATCAGTAGCATCATCAGCATCAGTAGCATCAGCATCAGTAGCATCATCAGCATCCGTAGCATCATGAGCATCAGTAGCATCATGAGCATCAGTAGCATCATCAGCATCAGTAGCATCATCAGCATCAGTAGCATCAGCATCAGTAGCATCATGAGCATCCGTAGCATCAGCATCAGTAGCATCAGCATCAGTAGCATCATCAGCATCAGTAGCATCAGCATCAGTAGCATCATCAGCATCCGTAGCATCATCAGCATCAGTAGCATCATCAGCATCAGTAGCATCATCAGTAGCATCATCAGCATCAGTAGCATCATCAGCATCAGTAGCATCAGCATCAGCATCATCAGTAGCATTAGCATCAGTAGCATCAGCAGCAGTAGCATCATCAGCTTCAGTAGCATCAGCAGCATCATCAGCATCATCAGCTTCAGTAGCATCAGCAGCAGCAGTAGCATCATCAGCTTCAGTAGCATCAGCAGCAGCAGTAGCATTATCAACCTGAACATCAGCATCAGCAGTAACATCAGTACCTTATGTAGCATCAACATTAGTAGCATCAGCCTCAGCATCATCAGCCTCAGCATCAGTAGCATCATCATCAGAGAATAATACCATTCACCCCTTCCCTGGAGCCACTTGCACAGGGGGGGGGGGGGTATCACTTCATCATAATCGTTTCATACGGGGTATAATTTCCCTGATTAACGAGAGGATGTTTCTATAGCCTCTCCTGTACACTTTTCCGTTCAGTTCAGTTTCGATTCATTGTATACCGTTATATGCTGTTTGTTCTGATTATGTATGGCAATTTTAGAATTGTCATAATTGATTGTTGATCTGTGGGATCCATAGTATCATAATGTACGTATACATCTGTATGAATGCACACATGCATTTGTTTGGAGATACGTGAGTATCAATTTATAAATACATAATCAGTATTAATATGTTTCAGCAATACTGGTGTATAACATACAAACATTATGGATCATACAGCATGATAATCCCTTACTACACACACACACACACACACACACACACACACACACACACACACACACACACACACACACACACACACACACACAGTAGTGTATAGTAGGTCACTGGAGACGGGAGACCTACCAGAAATATGGAAGACGGCAAATGTGGTCCCAATATACAAAAAGGGCGACAGGCAAGAGGCACTGAACTACAGGCCAGTGTCCTTGACTTGTATACCATGCAAGGTGATGGAGAAGATCGTGGTAACCTGGTAACACATCTGGAGAGAAGGGACTTTGTGACAAATCGCCAACATGGGTTCAGGGAGGGTACTTAACACAAGGGCACACGCACTAGGGGACACAGGTGGAAACTGAGTGCCCAAATGAGCCACAGAGATGTTAGAAAGAACTTTTTTAGTGTCAGAGTGGTTGACAAATGGAATGCATTAGGTGATGTGGTGGAGGCTGACTCCATACACAGTTTCAAGTGTAGATATGATAGAGCCCAATAGGCTCAGGAATCTGTACACCTGTTGATTGACGGTTGAGAGGCGGGACCAAAGAGCCAGAGCTCAACCCCCGCAAACACAACTAGGTGAGTACACACACACAAACAGCGGCATATGCGAGGCTGGCTAACATCAGAACGGCGTTCAGGAACCTGTGTAAGGAATCATTCAGATAAGACCAATCCTGGAGTATGCGGCCCCAGCATGGAGCCCGTACCTTGTCAAGCACAAGACGAAGCTGGAAAAAGTCCAAAGGTATGCTGCTAGACTAGTCCCAGAACTAAGAGGCATGAGTTATGAGGAAAGGCTGCGGGAAATGCACCTTACGACACTGGAAGACAAGAGTAAGGGGGGGACATGATCACAACCTACAAAATCCTCAGGGGAATCGACCGGGTAAACAAGGATGAACTATTCAACACTGGTGGGACGCGAACAAGGGGACACAGGTGGAAGTTGAGTACCCAAATGAACCACAGAGACGTTAGAAAGAACTTTTTCAGTGTCAGAGTAGTTAGTAAATGGAATGCATTAGGCAGTGATGTGGTGGAGGCTGACTCCATACACAGTTTCAAATGTAGATATGATAGAACCCAGTAGGCTCAGGAACCTGTACACCAGTTGATTGACAGTTGAGAGGCGGGACCAAAGAGTCAGAGCTCAACCCTCGCAAGCACAGTCAGGTGAGTACACACGTACACACACACACACACACACACACACACACACACACACACACACACACACACACACACACACACACACACACACACACTTCAATAGGGTCTTCAAAGAATGTCCCTCTATCTTTAACATCTAACACGCTGGGATTTAAGGTCGTCGTCATTTCCGTTTGATTTGTTCAGATGTTGACTTATTGATTATTTACAGATAGTTGTCATTGGCCTCTGAGCCAGAGTACACACACTCACAGATGAGGGGCAACTTCCACTCTGAGCCAGAGTACACACACTCACAGATGAGGCAACTTCCACTCTGAGCCAGAGTACACACACTCACAGATGAGGGCAACTTCCACTCTGAGCCAGAGTACACACACTCACAGATGAGGGCAACTTCCACTCTGAGCCAGAGTACACACACTCACAGATGAGGGCAACTTCCACTCTGAGCCAGAGTACACACTCACAGATGAGGGCAACTTCCACTCTGAGCCAGAGTACACACACTCACAGATGAGGGCAACTTCCACTCTGAGCCAGAGTACACACACTCACAGATGAGGGCAACTTCCACTCTGAGCCAGAGTACACACACTCACAGATGAGGGCAACTTCCACTCTGAGCCAGAGTACACACACTCACAGATGAGGGGCAACTTCCACTCTGAGCCAGAGTACACACACTCATAAATGAGGGAGCAACTTTAGCAACAAATACCAACTTGGGACACCAGTCTGGCAAGGCTGGCTTTATGACATTGTAAAAGAGGCGTAAACCGACTCGCTAATTTCAACTTTGTGAATGTTAAACCGAGATATACAGTAAACTGAGACATACGCCCCAGTGTATTTTACCAGTATGCTTCCCTCGGTACGAGTGTACATGCAGGATACGCGGATATTCGTTTTTAATGGGTGTTTTTATCTAAACTGAATTTGCAGTGACCAGAACTGCGTCATTGGTGTACATTTGCGTACAGGGAGCCGGTCGGCCGAGCGGACAGCACGCTGGACTTGTGATCCTGTGGTCCCGGGTTCGATCCCAGGCGCTGGCGAGAAACAATGGGCAGAGTTTCTTTCACCCTATGCCCCTGTTACCTAGCAGTAAAATAGGTACCTGGGTGTTAGTCAGCTGTCACGGGTTGATTCCTGGGGGTGGAGGCCTGGTCAAGGACCGGGCCGCGGGGACACTAAAGCCCCGAAATCATTTCAAGATAACCTCAAGATGTGTGTGTGTGCTTTTGGTAATTGCTCAGTAGTGTCACCTAGTTAGACGCCCACGTCAGAAAAGAATCAACTGGATAAAAGTAAGTTATTCGACTATTAAAATATTAGAAACGTCTTCATCTAAAGTGATGATTCCTTGCATGAGGTCCTGGATGGCAGTGGATGGACCACAGAGAATAGCAGTGACACATAACCCTCTAATAAATGACAGAAGACCCAGACTGGAGTACGACAGAACTTGATACAACTTGGTTGTTTCAAGTTCTGTCATACTCCTGTCTGGATCTTCTCCTGATATGATACAACTTGATACCAAGTTGTATCATATCAGGAGTATGGTACAACTTGGCGGTTAATACTATAATAGTAAGATCAGCCTCTGTCGCCTGTAGGAATCGATCTCAACTTCTAGTCGTGGAAGACTTCAACCAGGGAGAGATAGACTGGGAGAGCAAAGAACCGCACGGTGGCACAGAAACGTAGAGAGCTAAACAATTGAACGTGGGCAAGAAGAAGCTTTCCAAGCCAACATGTGAGGGGGAACCTACAAGAATGTGAGGTAATAATGACCCACTGACCCGGTGTTCGTTCTTAACATGGCAGACATAAGGAAAATGAGTATAGAAGCCCCCCTCCGCCCATTGGATTAAATCATAAAAGTGTATTGATGTTTGAATTTTTGGTCAAAGTCGGATAACTTACTAAAGGAAGGTACCAGGAAACAAAAAACAGGTAATCAAAGGGAAAATTACGAGATAAGACAATTTTAATCATAGGCAAATTGACTGGGAATTAATGAATCCAAGAGAGAGAGAGAGCAGAAACATGGAGAGCAAAATTGGTAGAAGTTGCAGAAAGAAACTTCCTAACACAGCACGTTAGGGAGTAAACACGAGGGGAAGACCAACCTGCAAGATTGGACTTTGTCTTCACGCAAGATGGACATTGAGAACATTGAGCATGAAATACCACTGGGAGCAAGTGACCATTGTGTACTAATCTTTGATTATGTAGTTGTTACGAGAACTGTGGCAAAAGGAAGATAAGAAGGGGAGTGGGATTAAACTTGCTTTCCATAATGTCGAATACCAGAAGACGGGAATTTTTAGAGAGAATATCATGGGAATTCTCAAGAAAATAAAAACAGCACAAGGCATGATGGACTTAATAGCTGAGCAATGCGAAGAAGCTGAGAGAAGATTTATACTACCCCTAAGGAATAAAGGAGCCAAGAGAAAAAATTCCCCATAGTTTAATACAAAACTTAGGACCAAACACGAGAAATAAAAGAGCTTGAAAAAATACAGGGAAACAGGACAGAGAACCACGGCATAAATGCAAGAGAGAGGAATGAATACTCAGGAACTCAGAGAGCAGCAAAGAAGCAATATGAGAATTATGTAGCATCCAGGCATCAGCCTATACTACTATATAGCATCCAGGCATCAGCCTATACTACTATATAGCATCCAGGCATCAGCCTATACTACTATATAGCATCCAGGCATCAGCCTGAACTACTATATAGCATCCAGGCATCAGCCTATACTACTATATAGCATCCAGGCATCAGCCTAAACTACTATATAGCATCCAAGCATCAGCCTGAACTACTATATAGCATCCAGGCATCAGCCTATACTACTATATAGCATCCAAGCATCAGCCTGAACTACTATATAGCATCCAGGCATCAGCCTATACTACTATATAGCATCCAAGCATCAGCCTGAACTACTATATAGCATCCAGGCATCAGCCTGAACTACTATATAGCATCCAAGCATCAGCCTGAACTACTATATAGCATCCAGGCATCAGCCTAAACTACTATATAGCATCCAAGCATCAGCCTGAACTACTATATAGCATCCAAGCATCAGCCTATACTACTATATAGCATCCAAGCATCAGCCTGAACTACTATATAGCATCCAAGCATCAGCCTGAACTACTATATAGCATCCAGGCATCAGCCTAAACTACTATATAGCATCCAAGCATCAGCCTGAACTACTATATAGCATCCAGGCATCAGCCTATACTACTATATAGCATCCAAGCATCAGCCTATACTACTATATAGCATCCAGGCATCAGCCTAAACTACTATATAGCATCCAAG